ACTCGAAATCGTTGCATCAGTGCAAGTATCAACTACTCGTGGATGTTTTACGCGGCGTCCAAGGAGTGCAGTTGTTTACCTATGAAAACGGCGACGATGTACCGTCGGTGGACAACATCCTGCCCAATTCGGTTTTTATATTCGACGATGTTGTCATGGAAAAACAAAATGTAATGTGTGATTATTTCGCGCGAGGACGACACAGGCAAGTTGATGTTTTTTTTCTCTCCCAAACACTGTCGCGCATACAAAAACAAATGTTACGTGACAACACAAATGTGGTGGTGTTGTTCCGGCAGGATGAAGTTAATCTACGACACGCGTACGATGAATACGTGTGTTGCGATATGAAATTTGGAGAATTCAAAGAGTTTTGCAAAGAGTGTTGGAACAAGGATCGGTACGGATTCGCAGTGATTTGTTTGGACTTTGCGCGAGACGACGGCCGATACAGATACAAGTTTGACACATTTGTTACAATATGAGTGCCGATAAGGAAACATTGCTGAAACTGTTGACTGAAGCCCGGGAAAATGTTCGAAAAAAGTACACAGAATTGCGTCGTGGAGAAGCGGATTCGTTGACTCGCGTAAAACGTCAGTTGGCGCCAATCATTGAACCATTAGATAAAATTGCGTCACAGCAACAGCAACAACAGCAAAAACAACAACAACAACAAGAACAATTACAGCAAACTATCAAGAGTTTAAACGATGATATATACACTGTGGAACACGATGACGGGTTTTTCCATCAGTACATGTATCAATGGTCAATGAACCCCAACAGAGATAAAATGTATGGACCAAAGGTATCACCAGATGGAACAATGACATTAGGTGAAGCCGACAATATCTTTCTCAATAGAGGAACAATTAATGTTTTAGATGAAAAATTCCCTCTGACTATGGGTCTTGTGGATTTACTGTTTTCGAAAAACCCTGGAGTTTACTCCGAATCGGATTTGCATGCGTACAAAACGATTCTCGGCAAAACCGGTGTGCATTTAAATAAAGACGGAACATTGAAAAAAGGAGGTCAAAAGTATGTAAACACCATTAAACCATTGTTTGATAACGGTTATGGTGGTAACCCAAACAATTCCTTACCGTTGTTTGAAAGCAGCAGCAGCAACATCAGTGACACATCCATTATCGGTGCGGGTCTACAATTGAGATTGAACAACAAGAAAAAAGATTACGTTTACTGGGACGACCCCAACGAGCTCGTGGAACGTTTACGTTTATTGATATCAGCCCGGTCGGCTGGCAACACTGGAGTTTCACCGGAAATCGTTTCTATATTGGAAGAGCTGCAGGAAGCCGGTTACATTGAACAGATACCAGCGGCGTTATGAATAAGAACATTGCTAACGAACTACACCGGCAGGCTCGCAGGACGTATACCCGTGCCCGGATAAATATCAAGGGTCTCGATGATATATGGCACGCTGACCTCGTGGAAATGCGCGCATACCCTGATCGAC